AGATCCAAACCAAGTCCTGGTTAATGTCAGCTGGTGGAAGAGGTTTAGGCATTAAAGTCTAATGACTGGGTGACCCAATCCTGAGAACTGTATCCACATCATCCCAGGAAACTCTGCAACAGCTGCTGACATCATCTCATCTGTCTGACTCTGTTTTGACTCGGTCTGTTTCAATTAACTCAGATGCTTTGCTTCACTGACTCTCTGCACACAATTATTATACAATAATTATCAGTCTGCTTTCATTTAATTAGTTAATTTATAAGGATTAGRCAATAAGTTAATTTTACAGCATGGAAACAGATGTGATCGGTGTGGATTTAATGTTTATTTTTTACAGCTGCATTTTGTATAAGCAAAAAAATATTTAAATAAAAAATCCAACAAAAACATTCACATTTTCACAAATAAGTGCACTGTTATCATTCAGCCACACAATTAACAGAAATTTTTTGCAACAACCTGCAAAAATGTGTAAATTGTTTCTGCTCTTAAAGGGGACGTATCATGCCAAATCCACTTTTTTATCTGTTAAATGCATTTTGTTGTCTACTTGAAGCACCTCATTTGGACTTAAAGAGACAGCTTCAAAAGCATTTTTTGAACACACTTGGAATTTTTTGTTTGCCTTTACACCTGAATTTCTCCTCTGTGGGATAATAAAGGCTATTCTATTCTATTCTATTCTATTCTATTCTATTCTATTCTATTCTTTTTTGCTTTGGGTGTGTTTTTGATGATGGAATGACAAATGTGATATAAAGCTCAAAAGGCTGGTCTTTTCTGGAAATTATAGTCAAAATCTGATCACTTTAATCAATATCTTAAAAAAGCTTTTGGACATTTTTCCCCTCATAAAAAGTTTTTCAGTCTTCAAAAACATTTCTGGTAGTTTATATTGTGGATTACACAATTTCAGGTTGTTTACTTGTTTGTCTTTGTTCTCCATTTTGCAAAGAAGCCTCAAATAATAAAATCCTGTTTTTTTTCATTAAACATACAGCTAATGGGATTTAAATTATGACCCAAACCACAGCATATTATATGTTCAGAGCTTTTGAGCTGCATTTTACCACACAAACAGATGTCGTTAAAATAATTTTGAACCTTAGAGTCAACATTTGTGTAAACTGTATGTTGTCCATGTCATTTTGTGCCTTTGATAGACAACATACATGAGTATCCAAACGTTGCTCTCTTGTACACAGTGCGGTAACAATCATGGAAATCTGTGCACACAAGAAAAATCTCAGAAGGGAACATGTTCAACCGTCTCTTCACRTGGCATTAATTTGTTTTTACTTAAATATCCTTGGTTTTATCTGCACAACTTCCTCTAATCTGATGTTTTCCACCAAAGATACACTGATTCATTTTACACCAAAGGAAACCTAAAAGCAGCCTCGCAGACTTCTGACAGCCGTAAACATACAGAATACAACACAACTGGTTCTGCTTCTCCTGATAGGATCTTTTCATTTCAGTGCAAACAGAAAGCATGCCGCTTGTTTAGGTTTGAAAATGAAAGAACATTTTATTTCTTATAATAAAATGGCAGAAGATTGTCAGTTTTACGTTTTTTTTTTACCACGTAAGATTCTCCATCACAGGCCCATCATTGTGTAAAATAAATCAGACTTTTTCAAACAGAAGATTCCAGATTCAAAAAGAAACACACAATCAGGGATGTTTCCAGTTACATGATTAAATATACCATAATCTTCAAAGGGGAGAATTAATGGTCTTTTCACATGTTTACTCTTGAAACCAATGAGGGTTTGTGTTTATATTCCTTAAAGGGAGTGCTGAAGCCAACATATACATGCAGTAGTTATAAATGTCTGATGGGTWCCAAATGTATTTACACAAATGTGGTCAGTGGCCTCAGACAATCTGATCTATAGACTAAACKTTATTATGATGGTGCTTAATTTTTAGCACATACTAAAAAGAAATATTTTGAATTTCAGTCACTTCAGTGGCACAAAAAAAAGCATTTTGCTAAATGCCAGTCAATTTGCTTATGACAGAATAATATGGTACTATAAAAATATTAGCTTTACTTGGAACTATCTGACATTTACTTTGATTTGGGGCCTTGTTAAAGGAGACATATTATGCTTTTTTTCCCCACATTTAAATAATTTAGTTGGGGTCAATATAAAGTGGAACTTTAAAGCTTTGGTTTTAATTCCTCTTTATTGTAACTCCACAAGCACCTCTTTCATTGCTTTTTTTGAGGTGTGTCTCAGAWCAACTCATTTTGAGGCTGTCTCTTTAAATCTAAACAAGGCACTTCACACCCCACCCCCACCTCCAGCACCTGGACTGACCTTTATGATCCTTTATGACTTTATGACTGCATTTTGATGCAATAAATAAATAAATAAATAAATAAATAAATAAATAAATAAATAAATGAGAGTATGATGAAGAAACTAATTTAAAGAGCTATGGGTGGGCTTTAAAAACACTTCAAAGACACTCCCCCCATCCCTCCTCCAGCAAGAGGAAGCATCACTTTAAGGAAAACATCGTATAAACTTTCCCCCCGCTGTGTTACATCTGTGAGGGGCACGTCTCCCAGCATGGGAGGAAACCAACACACGCAACAGAAAACAGTCACACTTCCTTAAAAATATATGAAGAGCCATGCATGGCATCGTTTTTCAATGTCCCATGAAGCACTGTGAATGTCCTCACCTCCCACACAGCATGTCGCCACAACAAAGCGTTCGAATGGATTTTAACGTGCCATCTGAATCTTCTGCATGCTGCATGTGCCTCATGTTTGGTGTAACTGGAGATGTTTTACCACAAAGATTTAACAGGTTTGTGAAAATAAAACAGTAATACAATTAGTCAAACGCAAAATGTAGAACAGAGATTAAGATACCTGCTGGCTATTGCACCCATAAACTACAGCAAGTTGCTTTTGTTTTTATTTGTTTATTTTTTGCAAGACAGCAAAACGATGTCATCCTGCATAAACATAATTTCAGTAGAACTCCAAATCCAAAGAAAGTTGCTCCATTATTTAAAATGTAATAAAAAGCTGAATGCAATTATTTGCAAGTCTCACCAACCCATAGTTTATTTAAAACAGATCATAGTGAAATATTAACTGTTTCAACTAAGAAACAGTTGTAAAAAATAGATTTTTTTCACAAAAAGTTTACATTTTTAAAGCTGCAATTTCTTTTGTTTCTATTAAAGTGGGCTAAATTTTATTGTCCTACTGTCACACTGCTGCAGCAGAGTGGATGTTCATTACAGGGACTATGCGCAGGTACATATTGTTCGTAAATTACACATATTGTACCAATATTCAGACAGGGCAGTCGGATATTTTGAAAAACTGCCCTTCATCAGTATGAAGCAGAGCGCAGTCAGTTTGCACATGCCTTTCAAATGTGCTAAATATTGATGTTAAAACAGTGATATATATACTAATTAATCTTTGATAAATCAACCCCATAATGATATACATTTCAGGAATGTAAACCTGTTTTAGGGGTACTTCCTTGTGTATTATGGTATCATATCCGGGGTAGGACTTGACTCTGGTATAAAGCTGTAAGTCATGTGTTGTTTTACGTGATTTTTCCTGGGTCTCTGAAGCGAGGGGAAATGGACCAGATCTGAGTTATGTGGTAAACTTTGCATGYATGGAWATRTATTTTCAAATCKGAGAATTGAATTGATCTCCTGAGCATAACTGGGTCTCTCATTTGAACTAAATCTTTTAGATCTGTCAGTCAACTCCGGTCACACCTGGGATGGCCAATCAGGTCTCAGGGGTTTCAAGTGCCACCATTACCACCCCTCTGGCTCCGCCCCTGATCGCATCTCAGAAAGATTGGAACAGARACAACAAAAGGCTGCAAATGGTGTGTATAAAAAAACAGTGGATGAAATGTCCTACAAGTCAGAAACAGTTTATGATTTTCTTTTTTTTTTTGTCATTTGAAACATCACACCATATATTTAATAAATTCCTTAAACGTAATAAAGAAAAAAATGCCTTTTGTTCAGTTATCTCATATTAAWACTTTTGTTGTGCAAAAAGTCACAGCAGATGTTTTAGCACCACTGTTCTCTTTGGAATTTGCCTTGATTCCTGCGTCTTTGAACTGATCTCTAAATTGGATGCCCAGACTTCATGCCCCGAGGTTCCACTTTTCATTTTCTAAAGGAAGCCATCTGAAAAGAAATAGTTGTTTTCTGCCTGCTTTGAAGTAGGAAGGGGCCAAGTGTCTGACGCTTGTGGTTGCAGGATATTCTGTGGTGGACAGATTTTATTAAAATAACAAGATGCACATTTTGAAGAAAAATAAATGTTCAATCAAAGCGATTTTATTTTATTTTTTTATCTGGTGCTCATCAGAACAGTCATTTTCTGAAGTGATCATTGTCATCAGTCTCAATGAGGTGCACACAAATAATAATAA